TTTATTTATGTATTTATTACCAATATTTTATTGGATGAAATACTTTGAATTTAAGTTTATTTTTATCCGTTTGTTTGTTTTATTTGTTTTAATAAGATAGAACCCATCTAGATAAGTGTTCGAAAATATTTATTACGTATATTTACATACGTATTACGTATACCTCATTAGTTCGGTCATAGTACTTTATTTACTTATATATACTTACTTACTTAGTAGCATCAGCGCGTAACGCGATCGGCCATTTGTGTAAGAAAAATCGGCGTAGAGGAGCGGCTGTTGATTGGTCGATCGAGTCCAACCGAACGAACTCCTTCGACCAATCGCTTGCTTACATTTCCCCGAACTTTCCCGGCTACGATAGAACGCATTTTATTCGATTGCATTTAATTTCAATTTTTTTTCCCTCTTCTTCTATTTTCTAATCATTTTTCTAATAATTAGATGAAAGAGTAATATATATGGAATGATGTTTTATCATGAATAATATTTCTTTAGGTAAAAAGAACGACAGCGTTACATTGTTGTTTCAGGTTATGCATTTATTTCTTCTTTTGCTTCTCTACGTGTTGTGCGTTGTGTTTTGTGAAACGTATGGCGCGTGGAAAGTAAAATGTGTTTAATCGATGGACGAACACACGTCGGCGCTCGTAGTAATAGTCGATTTATTTTTATTTTATTCTCTTTTTTTATATTACATATATTTTTTTTATTTTATTTACGTTATTTGTGAACTGTGGTACAATTTGTAAAATTATCTCTATTTCTTTCTATATTTACCACGCGCGCATACACACATATATATATCATATATATTATAGCTTGTGCAGTGATAAGTACGTCGCGTTGACTTTCCTAATGGCGGATTATCGAAGAAACATATTTTCGAAATTATGTTGCTAGTTTACTCCGTAGATAAGAAACTATCTTTTACTTCTACTTCTTCCACCTCTTCCTCTTTTCTATTTTTATATCTTTTTATTTCTCTCTCTCTCTCTCTCTCTCTTTCTTTCTTTTGAACTCTTATATATTATATTTCTTTTGATTACTTCTATCTCAAATTTAAAAAAATCCCTTTTTTTTAATCTTTTTATAGTTTCTAAAATTTCCACCAGAGTGCATCATCGTCATCTTCAATTTTCGTTTGTTGACCCTAAACGGTTTGTAGGACCACCACGATTGTCGTAATACTTCTTCCGAGAGAGAGAGAGAGAGAGAGATAGAGAGACAAGAACGTGATGCTTGGCACGCGAGTAATAATAGTAGAACGATATCATACATTTCTTGTTTTTTAAAGAGAAAGATAATTAAAGAGTAAAAATAAGAAAGTTTCAAATCTATTAACAGAAAATTTAGACGATCTAAGAGAATTTGTTTATTCGTCCTTTCGAACAAATTAAACTGAATCCATTTCTGAGGTGTAACGCCATAGCACATATATAAGTCAGATTAAATTAATTATTCCAAAATGAACAATGTTTATATGTTTTAAAAATATTTATTTATTAACCTTAACAAATATAGTACAAAAATCACGTCAAACGTTCCTACATTTTTTTTTGGTAAATTAATTATTTAAAATATATCTATTAAAATTAGTAACATATTTTGTAACAATGTTATTTATGTTAATAGTATATAATATTTTCTTTTGTTTTTATTTCATTTAATTGCAGCGATAGTTCAAAAAACAAGATACCGTTCAAATAGTTTGAAATTATGTCTTATAATTCCCGCGATATGGTTAGAGTGTTACAACTTGGAGAGTATTTGTATGTCATGTTAGACAGAATGGAATACGTAATACAGCCCTTCTTTTCGAACCAGCTAACCATAACAGTGTCCGCTCCTGCGACCCAACCATCGTCGCCTACGACGACATAAGAACGATATTGCACTTTATTTTTCTCTTTTCTCTCTTCCTCTCTCTCTTTTTCTTTTTCTTTCTCTCTTTATCTTTTCGAGGGATGACGTTTATTCTTAGGATTATTTTTTTCACATTTTTTTAATGATAAGACGATAAAGTTCAATTGACAAAATGGTGTCTCTTTTTTAGGTTACGTGTGATACAACATATGTGAACACGTAGACATATTTATATTCTTTCGATTTGTGATAATAACAATAATATAATAATATTTGATATTAATATTATTTATAATTTTTCGTAATTTTAGAAAAAGAAACCAAAAATTAGGAAACGGAATTGGAGTAGAAAGAAATAAATATGGACGACCATTCAAGTTTCTTATCAGGCGTGCCACCAGTTCGTAAATAATTTTATTATTATTATTATTATTATTATTATTATTGTTATTATTATTGTTATTATTATTATTGTTAATTTTATAACGTTTAACATAGATAATACTATATATATATATATATACACACATATCAGATATATGTATGGGTATGTGTATTATGCAATAGAAAGAAAAAGAGAGAGAATATATGTTCCGGAGTCGATAGTATATAAAAGAGACGCGAAACCTTGAGCTTACTATAATCATCACAACGTACTTACGTTTCACGTCGTAGTCCATGTCGTGAACTTCAAAAACTTTTAATCTTCTTTTTGAAAACATCTTTCTTATCGATCTATTATAAATAAGTCTTTTCGATTTTACATATTACTTTTTTTCTTGTTTAATCCTAGAAAATAATAATAATAATAATATATATAATAAGTATAATATAATCGAATTGTGTATTACGACACGAAGGACATGTGTTACTATTTTCACATTTAATCTATCCTATCGATCGATACCAATCGGTAGGATTGATATCGAGAAAGAAATATGGACGGTAATTTTTTATACGCTTATCAGCTTTCGGTAATTTTTGAAAAAATAGAACAAAAGAACATAGATAATGCGAGATTAGGATTTTAAAAAAGGGGAATCAAAAGATATGGAAAACATTCTTTTTTTTTTTTTTTGTATCGGGTGTATCAACTTTTTGTAATTTTTGAAAAAGAAACTGAAAATTAGGATACGTGGAATTGGAGTAAAAAATGAAATATGGAGAAATATTCTTTGTCAGGCGTGCCATCAGATCACAATTAAGCCAATAAAATGAAATAAAATAAATTAGGTGATGTATATAAGAAGTGAAAAGATAAAACCTAGGGAGAAAGATGAGGAAAGGAGAGTTTGGAAAATTAATAAATATATTTAGTTACATTTTTTTTGTACGTATGCGTTTCGGTGCGGTCGCGTAGTATTATATAAATCAATTATATCGAGAACGGTAAAAAAGAGAAAGAGAAAAAGAAAAAGAAAAAAAAAAGAAAAGAAAGAAAGAGAAAAACCACGAGGCGAGGAGGTGGCCGGTATACACCCACACCGATGAAAGAGACATACACGAGTCGCGAAGAACAAACTAGAAGCGGGTGGATGCGCGCGAGCGAGCGAGCGCATTACACACATACAAGAGTGACGCACCAATTCACGGTCGCCATTGTTGTTGCTGCGTCGTCGTCGAATTGTACGGTGTTCTCTTTCAGACTGATCCCTTACTGTTGGAACCGTTAATTTTTACTCAATCAAAATACTTATTCGTTTTATTTTCAATCGTATCAAATTTTAACGTAAAAAAACACGTGTAAAATGTCAATTATTATTATTCGGTGGTGTGGCCTTGTTGCTGTTGCCTCGTCGTCATCGTCGACGTGTCGTCGTCGTTGTTATTACGTGTCAACGATCGCCGCTCGCATAGCGGCAGCCATATTGGACGAGTCCATTCGACCGCCATATAGTTGTGACGATCATCGACGATCGACGCGCTCAAATTGCATCTGCTCATGTATATATATATATATATATACTTAAAATATATACCTTATTTATTTCTTTCTTTTTTGGAAGGGGGAGCGGTCGAATAAAAATTCTTCATGTTTATTTACGTTGATCGTGTTAACTTCTCAAAAATACTTAACATTTTATTTTGACATATACCGATGAGAGACGTGGAATACAACACCAAGTAGTCGCGTGTTCCTCTTCGAAATATCCGAGATCTCTTTCACCCGGCATGCGTTTCGAAGACGCGCGCGTGGGCGTTTGCTCTTACGCATGTTCCTTGTGACGTAGATGATGATGATGATAATGATACTAGTGATGTAGATGTCTGTTCAAATGCCCCGCTCAACTAACACCTCTTCTTCCGTCTATACTCCTAATAATATAATATTTGTCAATTTTACTTTTTCTGATCCCAATCAAATAAAATAAAATAAAGAAAAATATTCTCAACTTATTTTTATATATATTCCAATCTTTAAGATAACATCTATACAGAATTTGATATGTGTAGTTTTTTTTTTTTTTTAAATAAAACTTCAATTGTGTTTAACTCGGTCATTCGATATTATTTTTGGCGGGAATTTTGAAAGACAAATTACAAGAGAGTCATCGTTTGTGACATTGATATTTAAACCATTTGCTTTTTATATTTTATTAAATGTCAAAAGAATTAATATATTGTTTATAATAAAGTTGAGCACATGATCCCTTGTCCATGTTTTTCATTGTTTTTTGCGCTAAGGAGGAAATACGTGGATTCGTTAGCGTCGCATGCCGGCTGTTCCTCATGCCACTAAATAAGACGAGAAAGAGAATGAAGAGGACAACGACGTACCGCTATATGCATTCTCCGCGGCTTGCTTTCTACCCCTCTTTCCTTTCCCCCTTTTCCCCATATTACATCTCATTCGATCCCTCCATACACCCCTTTCTTTCTTCCTACCTTCCTTCCTTCTCTTACAGCCTTTTTTACTCCTACTTCTCCATTACCTACTCCTTTCCGTTATGTTCCTCGTTCTCTTCTTCCACCTTCTCCCCTTCTACACCCCCTTTTGCCTTTCTCTCTTCTCTCTCTTCTCTCTCTTTCTCCGATCAATAAAATAGCCCATCTTCTCCCGCGAAAGCTTATCGGTCGTTCGAATACCAACGACTAAAATTTCTTTATTTTATTTTATTCTAATTGATTCATGTAGTAATAAACTATGTAATACGTGAGTCATTTGAAAAAAGAATATAATTTAGTTTTATTTAAAAAAAAAAAACTATGAATTAGTATTCAATAAATTTATGAAAGATTTTATTTAAGAAATGAATTTTTAAATCTACAGTTTTATATATTTGAGATTATGTCTGTGTATTATTATATATGATATATCCTGTTTATTATTAGTATTATTTTGTTTCGATTTCATATAGTAATTAAATAATGTATTCTATTTTCTAGATCAAAGATTTGGTTCTTGACAATTGTCGGAGTACACTTATTGCAGGCCTGACTGATGAATTTGTCGCTTTAGAAGTATTGAGTCTTATCAACGTTGGTCTTACTAGTCTAAAAGGTTTTCCAAAGTTGCCCAATTTAAAAAAGGTGAATAATGATTGCACAATATAAAATTATTGTATCTATGTATGTATATTTCATATTAAATTTTCGTTATATTTTGTTTTTTGTCCAGTTGGAATTAAGTGACAACAGGATTTCTGGAGGTTTAAATCTCTTGCACCAGAGTCCCCAAATAAATCATCTTAATCTTAGTGGGAATAAAATCAGAGATATTGACACCATTCAGCCATTGGTAAACTATTTTTGTTTATATGTATATGGTATATATTTTTTTATCATAGCATTTTTTTTTTGTATAATAATTCCTAATTTTTTTATATTGCAGAAGGAATTCAAGTATTTAAGATATTTGGATCTCTTTAACAATGAAGTAACAAATGTTGATAATTACAAAGAGAAAATCTTTAATCTTCTACCAACTCTACGATATTTAGATGGGTACGATATTAATATAAAAATCTATTATTTTATTTATTTCGATATTTCAATTGAGGAAAAAAATCTTTTAATTTTCTATAATTTTAGTTTTGACAAGGATGACTACGAAGTTGAAGACACAGACGATGACGAAGTAAATGGTAACGAAGATGGAGATGGAGAGGTGAATGAAGAAGATAGTGAGGATGGTGAGTAAAAAATAATTTAGCTTGTTATAACAGAAATGAGAATAAAATAATGTATTATTTTAATGTGTTTTACAGTTTCTGAAGAAGAAGAAGAAGGCGTCGATTACTTAAAAGGTTTAGCTGCAGTCTATCAGAATAACCTTGAGGTAAGTTTAAATATTTCTTTTTCCAAAGATTTACTTTTAGATGTATACAAATTCAATCTTACTGTAATTTTCTTCTTCGTAGGACGAAAGTGACGAGGAAGATTACATGGGCGAAGAGGAAGAGGGAGAGGAGGAGGAAGAAGAAGAGGAGGACGAAGATTATGATTATGATATATTTGAAGTTGAAGAAGAAGAGCGAGGTAAAAATATTATTTTAAGATATACATATTTCTCTTTAAGGAATGATTACAAAATGATCGCAATCCTACATCTGATATTTTTGTAAAAATATAAGAAATAGATTTCTTTTGCCGTTGAACATTAAGAAACCTTTAGCTATTACCAAATATCACTTGTGATTTGTATTTTAATAAGTTTTGTTGTAAAGTCTTATCTCAAATTGATTCCATAACGAATACGCACAAAATTGCATTCCAGCGAAAATTCCGATAGTTTTCTTAAAGTTTATTTTTGTTTATCTAGATGCGTCTTCTCAAGCCCGTGGAAAGAAAAGAAAACACGAAGATGGGGAGTCAGGGAACTAGAGAATCCTAAGGGAAGAAGAACTGGCATCTGATACTGCTTTTAAATGAATGTAAAATTCTTATAAATATTAACAATAATTACAACACACGGGGTAAAGAGAAAGAGAGAGAGAGAGAGGGAGGGAGAAAGTAGAAGAACACATAGCTGGAAATCAAACGTAAAATTGACCGACCAATGACAGAGAGAGAGAAAGAGAGAGACTACAGTTATAGTAGTGGTGTGATGAATTTATTCATAAATTATTGACTGAATAATAATTTTGTTTGTGAACAAAAAAAGGAAGAAGGAAGGAAGGAAGGAATGAAAGAAAGTATGAAAGAGTAGAAGCAAGAAACAACAACAACAGGATTAAGAAGAAAACAAACAAACAAAAAATACAACAACATATTAAATAAAACAGATTTAACGCAGATTAATAAGAAAAGAAGAAGAAGAATTAGAATTTTGAGAATGGCAAAATTACGTGAAATGGAATTTATAATAATATGATAACATTAAAATAATTAAAATAGGACTGCATTCCAGCTAGACACAGCACGTTTTAGTTATACTAACGATATTTTATATAGAGTATATAGTTAGAATATTAGTGGTGTTGCATAATGCGTGTGGGTGGGTGGGGTAGATCAAAGAAAATGGGATGAAGGTTTGATAATTAACATTGGAAATAGAGGGAGAGAGATAGGAGATTGAGAAGGTTGGGAAGGGGAGTGAGAGGATCAAGACAAGAACACAAGGGAAGGGGGTGGTTTTACACTTGAAGGAGCATATTTGTCTGTTAGCTCCAATCGGCCAAAGGCTGGTCACGCTGGAATGCAGTCATCATCGTTAATCAGTAATAAGGTTACATAAGTTACATTTTAAATATACATTATTATTATTAATATTATTATATTGTAACA